AGGTAGGTCAGTGAGCAGGCCCTGTGTTCACTCTCCAATACTGGGGAAAAAACAAACCTTGGACTTGGTTCCTGAACCACAGTGGGGGAGATTCTAAAATTTGCTTTATTGACAAGTTTCCCAAGTGTATCTTATATACTCTGAACTTGAAAAAAACTATGGTCTACATACACATATACTTTTTTAAAAGCAAGGTAATAATAAATACCAAAATGTGCATTGAGGATACTGTTGTTTACAACAAGTATTGTTTGTTACCTGCCCATATCCCCTGGGCCCTAACTGTGTTACTCATTCAAAACAACCAGCTTCAGTTAGTGCCTGCTCGAATTTCCCTTGGTCTTTTCCCCCAAGCCCTGGGTAGAGTCTGTACATAGGGTGGCAGGAATTAACTACCCCTCTGCACAACAACCCTCCCCTACAAGTCCTTACCAATGACTGGTAGGAGGAGGTCCAGCTTTCTCACTAAATGAGTAGATGATGCTTTGGGGGGGCGGTTATATTTATTTTTATTAGTACATGTTTATAGTACATAATGTTTATATATCATGTGGTATTGGTTCATGTGCATACCCCATATTAATTAACTTTTCATTCCCTTTCATTCCCTTCCCTCCATCTCTTGATTCCCTTCACATTTGAGAAAGAACTGTCTTCCTACTTCAGCACATAAACAATGAGATATCAGAAGCTCATTAAATACATTTTAAAAGAATGTCTCATGACACAAAAAAATGATTGCAATATTGTATTTTGTGAAGAAGCAAGATACACATACATACATACTCTATGTTGGAGTTTAATTATGAAAGGAAACAGTATAAAAGACAAAATGACTGAAAGAATTATAAAGGAAATTGTTAGGGAATTGATCATGTTAAAGTATGCTGTGACGCCGCCTCACAGAGACATTCTCCTGGTACATCCTGGCTCCTAAAATGACCTCATGCCCTTATCTCTGGTTTCCCTCCCCCAAGGCCACAGTGGTCCGGAGAAGCTGAAACCTGTTTCTGCCGGGCTGGACCCATAAAAAGCAACCTGGCCTGTGATAGGTTAAAAGTAGCTCACTCCTCATAAATAATCAATAGCTTAGCCCAAAACTGATAAAAGGACCTTCCTTTCTTTGTTCTCTTCATCTCTTCTCTTCTTCTTCTTTCCTCCTCTTCCTCCTCCTCCTCTTCCTCTTCTCTTTCTCTCTACTCCCACCCCTTGAATAAAATCTCTGTTGGACCTCTCAGTGTGTGCGTGGCCTAGTTGTTGAGCATCACTATTCCCTTTCAGAAACAGTGATACTCTATTTTAGGTGATAGTTTTGTGAGATACTTTTATATTATTCTTTGTTTTTATATTCTTTTTTAATATTGAAAAATATAATGTGTCCTTTCAGTAATCCAAAGAAATATTTGAAAAAGATGATATAAGAAACCCACACTGTAAGATGGCCAACATACCTGGAAACCGTATTTTTCCCACCCGAAGCTACTAATGAATACTAAACCTGGACAAAGTAATTCCAAACTAACCTTACCCAGCACCACCCCTGTGGCTGCCTGATTGAAACACAGGAATTCACCAAGACCACACTGCTCAGCTGGCCTCAGGAATGCACGTCTGAGCCATTTCCCTTCAGCCATGTGGGGAACGTCACTCTCATATATCCAGAGCTGAACGCAGTCCAAGTCCTGTCATTTCCAGTGAGTAAGAGGGAGAGAAGGAGCTACGTGATGGCATGTGTAGAATCACATATCTCTTGGACCTTTGTATCTTATCAGTTTTCGTAAGGCACGAACCGTCCAACACACTGTTTATTTTTTCCAGTCAAGAATTTGTTCAAAATTTGATATGTCTACAAGCTATCATTTAGCCTTCCTTCCCTCAGCATTTCTCCTAGACATTCAAACGTGGTAGGAAAAAAAAATTGATTTGCTTTATAAACTTGTCTATTTTCTGGATTGAACTCTGTAGTTTATTTTACTTTAAAATATTCTCCTCTTGGGGAATGAGCATTTGCATATGTTACTAGCAGGAATATAAACTGGCACAATCTTTGGGGGAGGATATTTGAATCATAAAAAAATACATATGTACATGCAATTTCACTTACTTGAAAGTATGTGTACTTTTTACCACAAAATGCTACATGTAGGAATTTATTCTAAGTTAAAAACCAGCAATAATTTATCAATAATAGTTTTTGACAGATTATTTAATAGTCATGATTGAAAAAAAACATGAGTGTAATTTGCCACCAGTGTTTTACTAACAGGAATAACAGAGTCATGCACATTTTCTAACAAAAGTCTTTGCTGAATTTCTGATCTTGGTATGTTCTGGAAGCATGTGTTTGTTATTTCTGTGAAAAGGAAACTTGATGATTAAAACAGGAGTCAATAAAGCTTATCTTTCTCTTAGTTCACTTACTTTCTGCCTGTGGGTTATAGGACCATCATTTCCTTATGTTTATTTCTTTGTTTGTTTGTTGAGACCAGATCTCCCTATGTTGCCCAGGCTGGCCTCGAACTCCTGGCTCAGGTCATCCTCACAGCTCAGCTTCCTGAGTTGGGATCTGCTTTTTTCTGTCCATTTAGTTTAAAATAATAGGCCTGGTGCCAGTGATGTCTCAGCATCTACAAGGCCCCTCTACTTTGGCTCTCTCGTCTTGATTGATCATTATCTTGAACCCCAACCCTGCTTCCTGAAACATAAAACTTGCCCACCGACTGGTGCTCCTCCCAGGACAGTCATCACTTTGATCCTCAAATTTCCTTCCACTGCCTGTTGCCTCCCGCTTGGACGCTGGGGCTGCTACCAGGAATGCAGCTCTTCTGCCCTTGAGCTCTGTTTGATCCCAGCTTGTTCACCTGCTGGTAATGGAAAACCAAAGGTGTGGAACCCAGAGCCTCTGGACTGCACTGCCTTCTAAGCCCGCACAGCATGAGGCTCACACCTGTGTCCCATTTACTTAGCAATGGGAGAGGAAAGCACCCTAAACCATGTCCAGAGAGACAGAGATAGGAAAAGCCATGGAAGGGTCTAAATTGATGAATTATTACTCTTGAAAATGAAATGAGAGGGAAGCAGAGCTACTGTTCCCTTGAAGCCCCCATGAAGGCAATGAGTTTTGTTGAATTGAGTTGGAAACCTAGTGTTAAGAGGCTGAGGTTCTGTTTCAGTTGTGTAACTTTAAGAAAGTGATATTAACCGCTTAGACCTCTTTCCACTCAACAGAAAATAGAAATCAATATGATCCACTCCCTTTACAATCACAGTGCAATCTGTGAAAATGCAAAAGTCCATAATCGTTGTCTTGTATTCCTCACAGGACAAGGAGTTAACAGATGGCCATTATTCCTAGAACCAGAGCTCAGATAAACCTTGTGTTGCATTTGGTTCCAGTGCATCGGTCCATGACAGTATTGCAATTTATTGTTGACAGGGAAGCGTCTTGATGACATGAAGCAGGTCTCGAGGTGCCATCTCCTCTGAGATGTACCCAGCTAGCGTGTATCAAACACCCCTGCCACTCGGGTAACTGGCTTGACTTCACATTCTCTGCTTTGCATGTTTGCTTTAGTTCCCCCACCTGGGATACAAAGCGTAATTTCTCATTATTGCTATTATTAGGGTCATGAGCTTTGGTTACTTATTCCAATAAAAGGAGAAATGTTTGTTTCCAAGCTGAAACTACTTTTATTAGTTTTAGTATGCAGTGCACTATGATAACAGCTCTATAAGCATTAAAGCATATGATCCACGTGACCACCTTTTGACATAGGAAATAGGCACATTTCTTTTTTTTTTTCTCATTTTATAGATCAAGAAATTAAAACCTAAAGGTGTGAAAAATTTGCTACAGCTGAGATTATGTGAACCCTGTAGAACCTTAGATTTTGAGGTTTTTAGCACGCTGCAATTACTCCTTTCTGGAAGGTGCTGTTTCAGTGTGTGTGTGTGGGTGTGGGTGTGGGTGTTGTGTGTCCTGCCCAACTCAACCAGACATTTAAAATGTAGTATTTTTAATGAAAAATGTGTCCAGCTCTTGGTTGTTATTATATTCTTTTGTTTCTTTCGTTGTGGGAGAAGTTCAGCTGACTTGGGCTTGGTTGGATTCAACAGCTTTTGTTTTGGCTCCACGATGTTGCATATTTGGTGCAGAACTGACCCAGGGGGGCCGACCCTTAACCGGGACATGCCATTTATACTGGAGCCAGGGCTTTGGAACTCTAACCTCGCCTTTCATGTTTCAGAACTGGTCTCTATTTCTGCAGATATTTTTTTTTTTCATTCACTGGAAATATGTCCTTTTTCGTCCTTTAGACCTGAAGCGCAAACTCTGTCAGGTCCATTTAATTTATTTCTGTGCTGACCACACCACTATTATGTCTTTCCTTACTTTTATTCTTAAAGGGGTATCCTTCTGCTGAAATGTTGGTGTGACATTTCTTCATAGAAAAATAGTCTTCTATTTAATGATGCTCTAAGAAATGTTCTTAAAAAGGAAATTAGCTGGTATGAAAATCAGTGCAAAAAAATTTTGTATTTAATTCACATGGTTCATGTAACTCTAGCTTTAGTTCTTTTCTTTGTTAAAATGCTGAAACCAAAAAGATTTAAAGCCTGACTGATACTACTTTAATGTATTTGGGGTGGTTTGGGAATACTGTATTTGTTTTCTCAAGGACTTCGTCAACATAACTTGTCTCAAAAGAGCTTCAAGATGACAGTCAGGTTCAGTCCCAGAGTGCACCTGGGTGCCACTGATGAATCAGCCACGCCCTTGCAGCTTAGGGAACCCCCGGTGCCTCATTCAGACCTCTGCGTAAATGGAAAGCTGTCCCATTTGTATAAGGAAATGGACTGAAGGAGCATGCAGGCCAAGAAAAAAACAACTGAGAAACTGAAATCCAAAATTCTATGCCAAGGGGACCCGCTCCTTCCATTCAAAGTGTAACCAAAAGGCCCAGGGCGGAGGGACATCCTCCAGTGTCACTGCTGGAGCACGCAAGAAACAGCACCTGTCCTCACACTGCTCCTTCTCTACCTGGAGGTCACTTCTTCCTATCCTAGAAATCTCTTTCTTGCTGTGCTGCGGGAAGGAGAGCATCTGCTCAACTCCCTCAGGTTGGTTGTCACATGAAGGCACTCACCCAAACCACACTCACGCTTTTATTTTCTTCTGCTTTGATCAGCAGTCAGAGAGGAGAGAGGAGAACTGCAGTGGAGACTCTCTTTCTTCTGACAGAGAATGAGCTGGCCCTCGGGGACCTGTATGCCCACCTGGAACATTCAAATGCAGAGATGAGCAAGGTGCCCAGTGCTCAGGAACCGACTACTTGTGCAAGTCCTTTCCAGTGGGGAGGTCTGACGGGGCAGCTTCTTCGAGGATTAAAAGCCTCGTGATACACTTCCCCTGCTAAAACACAAAATTTGTACATATGCAGGCTACATGTTTTGCAGAAGCAGAGAGGGTTCATAAATGCGTATTATTTTACTTGCAGCCCATTTCTTTGTAGGCCCAGAATAACTGCTTCCAGACTATGGTATTGTATGACTCTGCAATGTGGCCTCTTAACTGAGACTCAGCCCCACACCCAGGGAGAACAGTGCCTATTTCCTCCCGCAGGTCAAAAGTGGATCCAAGGCCAACAAGGAGAAGAGTTCTGCCTCTCACTGTCCTAAGCCACTTGTGCAATCCCTTTGCCTTGTCCCCATGCTCAGCTTTCAGCTTTTGGTGTCCTTTTAAAAGAAGTATCAGTCGGTATCAACCAATATCAATTGGAATCTCATTGCTGCCACTGGGGAGCTCCAAGTTAGCTAGGCGTAAGTCACCTTTTAATCACAAGACTTCACTTTGCTGTCATGTAAAATGGGGCTAAGAGTGGCACTTACAGGGTTGTTATAAGATTAAATAATAGATTTCAAAGGGTGGAAAAATCTCAGCACTCCATCTGGTATTCTATAAGTGGTACAGTGGTACATTAATAGGAGAAATGTTTAGATAAATGGATAGATCAAAAATGCAATTTTGATATGGCCAGCACATCCAAACCTAGCAATACAAGTTTCCAGTAACAAATAACTGACTCTTGACTAAACACTGAATAGGAGCCAGTATTCCAAGCAAAGTAATGTCTTTGACTACCTACAATCTTTATGTGATGGGAACAACAAGACAATATTTTTAGAGAAGTTCCCACTAATTATTTTTAAATTACATAAAAATCTTCTGTTTTTCATTACACAAATCAACCCATTCATTTTGAGGTTGTCTCCAGCAGTCACAATTATTTATAAGAAAATTGTGTTCATAGCCTCTGTCCTCCAAGAGATCATTCTGTTTGTGAGTTAATTTCTCCTTATTTCATAATGATTATACATATAAAAACTTAATCTAACACAAGAGATTCAGTTACTTTTCTAAATTACTCACCGATCTTATGTTTCTATGTTATTGGACTAGAATAACTATAACCACCCAAACACATCTGAAAACCCAGAAATATAATTGCCAAGAAAACTTCTGACAAGTCCCATTGGACTTGTTTGATACAAGCTTAGTAACAGGATGCTTTTTAGATCAGTCTATTTTTCTGGCTAAAATTCCCCTTTGCTCCTTGTTTATGTAAGAATGTATTTGTGCTCTCCCAGGGACTGGACTTCAACCCTGTCCTCCCTCTGGGGTGCAGCTCTATAATGGACCAGTGGTTTTGATGGCTTCCCAAAGTCCTCTCTCCCAGCACACACGGTCAGGAAAGACTGAGTGTGAGCAAAGGAAAGGACAAGAGTGCCTTGGGGCCCTGATGATCTAACTGCTGTGTTGCCATTTGTCACGTTGTCGCAAAATGAAGGGAGGCAAGATGTGAACTCCCAGCACACGGTCAGGAAAGACTGAGTGTGAGCAAAGGAAAGGACAAGAGTGCCTTGGGGCCCTGATGATCTAACTGCTGTGTTGCCATTTGTCACGTTGTCGCAAAATGAAGGGAGGCAAGATGTGAGGAGCAGGATCAGAGGGCTGCAGCTCACTCAGGCAAACAGCAGCCTCATGATCACAACTGCAGTATTTATTGAAGCTATTCAGAGCACCAGACGAAAAGCATATTTTTAGCATTTTATCTTGTGTGTGAAGTTATATAATATTTTGGCCAACTGGGTTCACCAAAAAAACTCTGTTTTTTACTTTTTCCTTCCAACCCCTTAAAAAACATTTTTTGCTTTGTCTCCATCCTCTTGGGAGATTAACAAGGGACAAAGAAGAATCGCCAGTCACACAGATGTGCTTACATTTCTTCCAAGATGGATCCTCTTATGTCAAGTTCCTCTACACTGCTGTGAGTCTATGGAGTTGGCAGTAGCAGTGCCAAGACTGTTTAGCAGACCTAAGGGAAGAGATATGAATTAAACACCTTTTCTGATGGGAAAGTGATGTTCTTAAGACTTAGAGTGCACCATATATAGGAAGCCTCCAGCCTTTCCTCTTATAGTCCTTCTTTCCCTCCATCACTAAATCTAAGTATGATTGGTCAGCGTTCTCCATAAAACTCCAGGCTTCTGGGGCTGGGGGTAGCTCAGTGGCACCATGCCTTGCAAGTGCAAGGTCCTGAGTTCGATCCCTGGTATCCAAAAAAAGAAAAAAACAAAACAAAACAGGTTTATAGTGAAAACTTGAGCCCTTCATTTTGGATCTTTCTAACTTCATCGTCTCTGTTGTCTCTCTCTTCTCTTCTTATACCACACTGATATTCTTCTTCCCCCATTTCACAGGATTAGTTCTTTCATCTTAGTGCTGGCTGATTTTATTTTTTTATTTTATTTTTTTAACCTGGTAAACCCCTACGCATTTGTCCAGGCTCAGCTTCAGTGTAGCCTATGCAGGGGAGATTTCTCAGTGGCTACAGATGACGCAGTGGCTTCCTCCTCTGTGCTCCTGCACAGGAGTCTATCATTATGTTTATATGTCCCTTGTCCTTATTATAAACTGTTATCTTCAAGAAGCAAGAAATGTTCAGGTTGTGTTGGCACACACCTGTCACCTCAGCACTCTGGGAAGCTGAAGCAGGAAGATTATTAGTCCTTGCCCATCCTGGGCAATTTAGCAACTTAGTGAGGCCCCATCTCGAAATGAAAATTAGCAAAAGGAATATAGCTCAGTGGGAAAACCCTGGCTTCAATTCTCAGCACAGCAAAAACAAAAAAAATGCAAAGGGCAAGAAATTATTATTATTATTGTAGTCTTTCAAAACCAGTGTAGGAATTAAAGAATGAATGAACCACCTGACATGAGGGTCCAGTTTTACATCTAGAGAAGATGAGGTATCTAAGAGGGACAAACCCTTCCCGTCCACTTTGTATGGACCATCCTGCTGGTAGGGTTACTTTATCAAGGGACCCTGGGAGTTGATAACAAGAGATCTCCTGAGAAAGACCCTCGGTGCGCAGAAATGCAAGTGCCTTCTAATGGAAGGAAGGGGGCCTTCTGGATTGTCTGTGTTTTCCACCATGAAAGTTTACCAACGAGAAGACAGCACCCTAACGTATCCTCAGTGAAATGCCAGGGAATCGTGTGGGAGAAAGCAGGATACAGAGATTCCTTTACAGAAAAAACACAGCTCTGTGGCTGGGAAATTCTTCGAGTCATGTGCTCTGGAATGTGCGAGGGGAAGCGGTCTCCTAGGGTCTTGACTCACCAAGGCCTGAAATGGATGCCTGGGGCTGCTCTTCAAGGTCCTAGGACATTTAGATTCACAGGGGCCTGAGCCCAGTTGCACTGGCTGCATGTATCAGTACGAGCCTTAAATCAGAAGCACGGGTTACACCTCCTCCCCTCTCCCTGGCTTGGAGCCCTGCCCCCACCCCCACCCCATCTTCACAGCAGGCTCATTAAGGCCTTTCCCAGTGCAGAGACTCTGCATTTTGGGGACTGGTGGAGTGTTTGATATTTTCCACTCTGCGTGTCAAGGGCATTTACAGTCGGCGTCAGAGTGTTATGTCAGTCTGAGGAGGCACTTTGAAGTATTTGTGGTAGAGGCCACATGTGCAGGCAAGATGTGCCTCTTTCAGAATTTTGGGGAGGTGGAGTGTTTGATATTTTCCACTCTGCGTGTCAAGGGCATTTACAGTCGGCGTCAGAGTGTTATGTCAGTCTGAGGAGGCACTTTGAAGTATTTGTGGTAGAGGCCACATGTGCAGGCAAGATGTGCCTCTTTCAGATCCCGGATCCTTGAGGTTCCTGCTCAGCTCTTTCCCACATCATGTGACAATGAACACCACCACTTAACCCTTCCCTCCTTGGTGTAGTGGATGGTTCTTTTAGTATCATTTTGAAAAGGCCTTTTATCCTCCTAGGTCTTGGCTTTGGAAGGGGTTTGGAGATCTTTCTTTCTCTGCCTTCTGCTCACCACTTTTTTGGACCTTTCTTGTGGCTGTTTTTGCTGCCACTCTTCATGAACTTATGTGTGGAATTGTAATCCCAAAAAGTAGTACACAAAAAAGGAATGCCTGTATCTTAAGACTGTGCAGATGGTAAAAGCGCTGGGGTTCCCGACACCTCTGACCGTAGTTGAGCTACTTCAGAGAGCTGACAGGTTGGCCAGCAACCCCCTTCATCAGCAGCAAGTAGTGATACTCAGCTACTGCCCACAGCAGGGAGCCCCCAAAGTGAGCATTGCCTTTTTACATTACTAATGATAATTCACTTTGCCATTGTCTCTTGCTCTGTTGCATTTAAGTCTCCAGACCTGAAACCTTGACTAAAACAAAACAAAAAACACCATATGAGACTCTTGAGAGGAAATGTCACCAGCTGACCCAAGCTCTGACCCATGGCCTCAGAGAAATGTGGTTTGGTTTGCACAGATCAGAGCTGAGATTGATAATCTAAACTGCTTGCTCAGGAATTCTGCGAGGGTCCATTCTCTGCCAGCCTGGAAAGCTTTTGGACTTGGCAGTAACTGTTGGGCTGGAGACTCAGGTCTCCCCTCGGAGACAATGGGCATCCATCTCTATGGGGATCGGTTTATGTTGACAAAACACTGGCAATGCAGAGGGAACAGAAGAGTTTTAAAAGAACAAAAGTCACTTTCAGGCATTCAGAGAGGAAGGCCTTTAGAAAAAGTTGCCTGGGACTCAACAGCATCACCTAGAACATTCCCTAAGTATATTTACTATATATGGGACTAGCTCCTGCAACAGTAGCTAAGCTTCTTTATTTTACTTTGTTGATCTGAGGAAGGGCAAAGACATACCTTATATTATTAGACTATTAAATATTAAGAGCAGTTGCCATGTGCCAGGCAACATGCTAGAAAAAGTATTATCATATTTCAGGTTCCTGATATCCCTGGGAGGTAAATATTCTTTTCATCTAAACCTCGGTGAGGGTAATATTGTGTAAAGGGTCATATTAGAAAATAGAGGATCTGAGCAAGATCCACAAACTTCCTGACTCTAAATAATGTCTATGTCACCTTCATCCGTAGCAAAAAGTTGCCTTTTTATCTGCTGAGATAATTCCCGGGATGCTGCCAGGCTTGCCCCCCATTTCCCCTCCTGTGAACACCCACTGAATGAAGGATGGCGTTAACTGTGGCGTGTAACAAGCCTGGGAAAGGTGCAGAACCCTAAGGCAACACCACTTAGTTTCTGTCTTGAGAATCTGCCCTGGGCTTTCCCAGCGAAAAGGACACTGTCCCAGAGCTGTTGCAGACTTCTCATCCTTGGGAGGCAGGAATCCACGTTTCCCTGGCCAGGAATCCCCACAAGCTTCTGATGCCGCTCTTCCCAGGCTACTAGGCACCCAGAACAAACAAAGCACAACAAGAACAGGTCAGAGAGGAGGACATCGGTTTAAACAGTTTGTCAGAATAATTTTGCTCTTTGTGTTTACCACGCACAGAGTCAAGTTGAGTGAAGTTTCAGGTGTTCCCTGCTGTGGCCTCTCCCTTAATGTCTCTCTGTCCTTAACAGACTTCATTTCATTTTGTCTCCCACGTACCACAAAGGGGGAAATTGTTTTCACTGTTGTTGAATGAATTAATTGAAGGATTTTTATTTGTTTTACAGCTGAGTTGCCAAGTGATTCTCACAAGAGAGGGGGTTGGGAGGTAATACTGTTTGAAATTAGGCATTTGTCATGAGTCAACCTACTCAGAAACCTAAAAAAAGTCTCAAAGGCCAAAATAACAGGATGCATGTCTGTCTGTTTTTTTAAATTAGTAAAAACGGAGGTGGTCCTTAGTCTGCTACCCTGTGTAACTACTCAAGATAATTATTTTTCCTTAGTTCTTTTATTGTCCTAGATTTTCCTCTACACTTTTTTATTTTATTCTCCTCTTTCTTTATATTTGTCCTTGCTCACTGAATTATGTTTTTCATTTTCTGACAGCCTCTGTCTTTTCTCACTCAATAGTGATGCTCTAGGCTGAAGAGGGTGGGGAAATTAGTGGAAAATAATGTACTTTGTGAAAGAGAGAATCCATTTCAAATCTCTGTCTTTAGGATTATTCACCTCCACATGAGTAAACTTCCAGGCAGTTCCCACCCCAGCCTTGCCTGTCCTTGAGGATTGATTTCCATCTTTAATTTTGCTTTTCCTGTTTTCTTCCCTCTTCAGTTTCCTCTGTTTCCAACCCAAAGAGAACAACAGTAGCAGCTCTTCTCCATTAATATAATGTTGAGCATGTTTGAATCTTGTCATTTAATCGTAACTGGAATCCTCAAAGGTAATGAATTTCTCACCTATGTGTAGATGAGGAGTCGGCGCCCAGCCTGGCCAGCCAGCAGACACACAAGGATTCTGCCCAGTCTGCCATGTCACCTCCATCCTCCATTTCTCTCTTGGCCTCAGGCCTGCAGGTCCCCAACACCAAGAGCATCCTGGGCTCAGGGTGGCTCACTCTGAGGTCCAGATATGTGGGGCTTGACACTTTGCCACACAGGCTGAGGCTTCTTAGGGGGTGGTTTCAACAAGGGTGTTCCAAGGTCAGTGGGAAGGTAATGGGAGGAATGAGCCCTTTCTTTTTACCAGTTGTTATTCCTTTAGATAAATTTGCATTCTGTTAACATAGTCTGCATTTATAGCAGCAGTTTTGTTTTACCTTATGATACATCCTAACCAAAAAGTGAAAGTAAAAATACTTTTTAGTAGTGAGACACATTCACTTAAAACAAATTAGCCTGAGGGTAAAAGACAAACATTGTAGTTATTACTGTAAGCATTTGTTTGCTGCAAGCTTGAATAGGACAGAAAATGAGAAACAATTAGTATTTTATAACTTAAATGGATGAAAATATTACCTTTCCATGTTACAAGGCTGTAGGTCAGATATTGCACAAAATGGTAAAGGTTAAATCTTACATCTAGAAAAAAATTTAAAAACCT